ATCTACAAAGAAATTCTGAGGCCCTTTACTACCAGCTGGGGGAGCTCCAGAACGGGGGTGCACACAGGCCCTACCAGGATAGACTCCCACTTTCTAGCCTACCACCACTTAAGACCCACCTAGAGGCCCGAGTTGGCAGTTTCTGGACTTAGGGGCATCAGCTTAATCCTCCTCCCACCCCAAGTCATTTCTGGTTGTCTTTGAGCCTTTTTGTTAAAAAGAGGCCCAAACTTCTATAGCTCCTGACTTAGATCACAAAGGAGAGGGGAGGAGGGGCATCCTATGGGCAGAGGCTCTGGAAGAGGATATCTGGACAAAGGAGAGGCCAGTGAAGGGCCAGGGCAATCTGGAAGGGTGATGTCTCTGCCACCACAGATCTCTGTGGCCTGACCACACACAAAGCACATTACCTCACTGTCCCTGGAAGAAGCCAATGACTGCCTGCCAGGGCTGTGCACTGGGTGGAGCCTCAGGGCACCTGCCAGACTGCTTCCCCTCTGGTGTGTGTGTGTGTGTGTGTGTGTCTGTGTGTGTGTGTGTGTGTGTGTGTGCAAGCGCCAGAGGCTGAATGCTTGGATGCACATGCGTATCCTGGAGCCTGCAGGGATGCCTGTGTGTGAGCGTGGGAGATGTCCTTTTAGGTGGTTCTGGGTCCTGTGTGGTCTCTCAGAGCAAATAGCTGTCCATGTTTCTATCCAGATGCACCCAGGGACTTTTTTTTTTTCTTTTCTTTTTTTGTGGGGGAGGGGAAGGGGAGCGGGCAGGTTTCATTGTGTAGCCCTGGTTGTCCTGGAACTCACTCTGTAGACCAGGCTGGCCTCAAACTCAGAGCTCCACCTGCCTCTGACTGCTGAGTTCTGGGATTAAGGTGAATGCCCGGCTAACAGGAACGTTTGCTAAGGCAGATGGGTCACTAACCCTGGCCGTGTTCCTCCCATCCACTGCCCCACCCTAGAGATAGCTCCTTGCCCCACCCCTGGATTCTGGACCCACCCTGAACTGTGGAACCATCCCCCCCTAAAAAAAATCATATGAGTCTTCTTGGCCTTCCCTAATGTTGTTTCCTGTTGCCATGGTCACGGGAGTGGTGCCAAGGCAAGGGCCAAGGGCTGGTACCTTCTTGTTGGTACACAGCATATTTTCCAGATATTCAGTTCAGGCCCAGAAAAACACAGGCTGGTGAGGATCCACAGGGCTAGGGTCATGCCAGAGACTGAGGCAGGAAGATCACCTGTTCAGTGTCCTGCTCTACAGAGCCAGACCTGACTAAGAAAAAAAGAAAAGAAGGAAGGAAGGAAGGAAGGAAGGAAGGAAGGAAGGAAGGAAGGAAGGAAAAAAGGGAGGAAGGTGGACAGGAGGGAATGGGGAAAGGGGAGAGAGAGGGAGGAAGAGAGGAAAAGGGAAAAAAAACAAAGACAGTTTTCAGCCCTTTACTCCCTCAAAAGTCATGTCTGCCTTGGAAACACATGATCCTGCTCTTGGCCTGAGAGCTCTTCAGTACTTGGAGGTGGAGGCAGGAGGGTGCGGAAATCAAAGCCAGCCTCAGCTACATTTAAGGCCAGCCTGGGCCAAATGAGACTCTGACTAAAAAATAAACAACAAAGCATATACACACACGGGGTGGGGGTGGGGCTCCTCCAAAGCTTCCATGGTGTCTGCAAATGCCCCCCTCTGCCCCCTGCTGCTTCTATTCAGACCATTACCCTTATCCCTCAACTCTCTGGGCTGAGGCTCAACTGGTGCCAAAGCCCTGCCAGCCTTCCTGAGCCCAGCTCCACAACCTCACCTGCCTCCTCTTACCCCAGGCTACTCCTGGAGGAGGCAACTAAGCAGGACTACTGGGCCAGGTGCAGGCCTGGGCGCTCTTCACAGTCACTCAGAGGGCATGCACTGAGCTCCCTACTTCTTGTACCAGGACAGCATAGCAGGTGTGGGGGAGGGGAGGCTGCAGAACCAGAAGCCTTCTCTGTACACACCCGTGCGCCCTCCACTGGCTGGGCTACCACACCCTGAGGCCAGCCAGAGAAGGTACGGCTTGTCCCTGTGGGCTGCAGAATCCCAGTACTCACTCCCACCAGGAGAGCTCAGCACCTCAGGGAAGGGCCCCTGCGCTGTCCTAGCTCTGCTGGCACCTGGCTAAGGGTGTAGTCACGTGCAGAGACGTCCACCTAAAGGGCTAAAGGCCGGCTGAGCCTGACCTGTGTCCTCTGCTCTCAGGTGCCTTTGCTGTCAGCACACTTTAGAGAACACGCTGAGCCCATCCAGACACAGCACAGGCCTCCCTCTCTCCCTCTCCCTTCCCTCAGACCAGTTGAGGACATTTACAAGTTCCCAGGGCCTATTTTCAGCAGCTTGTCTCCAGGGACCCTCTTCTGGCACAAGATCTGGCCCTAGGGTGGGCCTGCAGGGATGGCTGGCCACAGTCAAAAGCGGTTGAACACTGCTTCCCAGACAGGTTCTTATGTCTGTCAGGCCTTATACCTCAGGCTTAGGCAGACAGCTTAAGTAACATCACACAGCCAGGAGGGGATAATAGAGAGTTCTGGTGGGGCTCCTTAGCCACCCTTCTCTCAGTAGGACTGCCACCCCCCTATCTGGTCAGACAGGGTACCCTGCACTGTGCCTTCCTTGGGGCTGGGCCTGGTGCCCAGTGACTGCTTCATGCAGCCAAAGCCCAGGAAGAACCGCCTGGAATTCCAGTCTTTCCAAAGCAGCAGCTGAGGCCATGTTCATGGCCTGGAGCCCACCCCCACAGCCAGTCCGGTCCTGGGAAAAACGGCTGCCCACACCTGGCACCCTGGCCTTTGGCCAGCCTGCAGTGCATCCACTCGATAGCTAGCCAGAGCACTAACACTAGCACATGGCGATCTTTCTGGTACCCTGCCTACAGGCTTGGGGCAGCAGCCAGTGGGCAGGGCCAGCCACATCAGCCCCTGAGATCTTTAGGGAGCCAGGCGCTGGAGGAAGACTCTGGCAGAGGGGTATCCAGGACTGATGCAGGAATCACTGGCCGGGAGAATCGAGGACAGGAGGGAGGATGTCGGGGGTCTGGAGCATTGGCCAGAGGATCTAAGACTAAGGGAAGTAGGGAGAGAGCCATAGGCTGGCCATCCCACAAAGAAGTCCAGCTGGGCATAGGTAAGGGAGCAGAGAAGGGGCTAGGAGGGCCTGGCTGGAGAGTGCAGCAAGGCTAGACCGGTGGGTGGTGGCTGAGTGGTAGGGTGTGTGTGGGAACTCCTGGAGCACAGCTGAAGTGTGCAGGGCAGCTGAGTCTCCCTGTGAGGTCCTGGGCTCCATTGGCAGAATTTGGAGTGGGGTGGGATGGTCAGATGGCATTTAGAGTCATCTCCCAGTCCTGGTGTTCATTTGGGATATAGAAGTTCAGGGCACTCTCCCAGAGAAGGGTGGATGCCAGAGACAAAGGCTTCCTTTCTCTCCTCCATCTATCGGAAGCTGGTGCCGCTGACGCGACCTAGCGATGGAGCGGACACCGCCTAGCAACAAGGCCCAGACAAACAGTCGCGGCACCGCCGCGTTTCCACGACAACTCCTTGGAAACAAACACCAAGCAGCGTCATCTTCACCGGCAGGAAAAAGCCAGATCCTGCCCCGCCCCTCCAGTGTACAGCAAAGCTGGCCGCAGGGGATACATCTGCCCTGGGAAGACCCCTGCCCTCGTGGCCTAGCCAGGGGAATCCCCTTCTCGCCTTCAAAGGTCCCGCCCAGTACTGAGGAGGGCCCACCCCGTCTGTTGCCTTCAAGCTGAGCTGGTTGAAGTCATCCTGTTCCGGAAGGTGGACAATTCATCGTCCCCTCTGCCCCTACAAATAGCCAACCAGGAAGAGCGCGGGCTGTCCAGCTCAATCCAAAATGTGCAGCCAAGAAGCGGCGCCTTGGTGAGAGAGGCCGTGAAGGGGAGGAGTCCCAGAGCCCTAATACCGGCTGGAACTCCCCTTGGCGAGGGTGGAGAGTTGGAATACTTCCACACACTGGGGCAGACTTATGCTCAGCACCCAGGGACACGACGGTGCGCATAGGACAGTAGGCCCAGCCACACCAAGATCAATGGCCTAGAGGCTGGACAAACCTTAAAAGTCTTCGTGCCCGGAGACAGTGACCAGATGTGGGAGCCACTTGTCCCAGACACTCTGAGACCTGGACTGTGTAGGAAGCAGGACTAGATGGGGCAGATCTAAGCGGCACTGAAATGCAGGGGCGCCTTCTAGTGGACATTCGGAGGAAAACAAGGACGTACACACCCGCTGTGAGAAGGGGGTTGTGGTTCGACTTCCCTTGAGGAAACACGATTCACTCACTATCTCACTACAAACCCAGCCACATGAACCCCTAGAATGTTACCTAGCAGCCCATTCTCATTCCGTTCCTGGGCACCAACTAGAGACAAGTCAGGGTGGTCAAAGGCCTTGCCCTGTGGACATAGCAGGAAATGGCCATGCACAGCCTCATCAGACTGGGGTCTGACAGCACGCTTAATCTCTCATGGGCTTCTCAGCATTGATCTAGGCTGTCCTCCATTTCAGGTTCACCAAGTAGCCAACAGCTCCCATGCTCTTCTGCACAAGACCTTTCTGGTCACCTAGGCCCTATCACATGTCTCTTTGTTGTTCTAAAGTTAGCCCTCACAAACCTCATGGTTCCAGTGCCTGGAGCTGTGTCCCAGGGTCTCAGGCCCATCCCCAGGTATATCCTCACCTCTGCATGCTTCAGAGCTGTGTACTCAATGGAGCCATCTGTCCATTATCCAGACCCTTTCCCAAGATGCCTTTTCAACTCCGTCCAGTGCAAGCCCTCCCTGCTTCCCACGCATTCCAGTGTTGGCACCAATGCCTAAACCAGCCCCCTCCCACCCCCAAGTTCAGAAATGTTTCTGGACTCCATCCCTACCAATACTGGTCCAGGGGTACAAGGGGACATCTGTGGAAAGACAAAGGGACACTGTCTCGGGTTCACCCCCTCCCCCACGACACTGGGTTCTGTGATCCTCAAACCAAACCATTTATTGACAGCGAAAGTCTCCATAGCTGTGAACTGCGTGAGGAGCAGGTAGGGAGTAGTGTGGGAACCAGCAGAGGGCTCCCTACAGGAGTGTCCTCACCCTGGGATGCTGTGGGCTCATGGCCATCACCGGCAAGCAGAGCATAAATAACACTGGTGGGCAGGGGTGGGCAACAGGGATGTCACAGGACAGCCACCTTGGGAACATGGGGACACAGGGACGGAGAGAATGCTGGTCACAGGCACACAGGACATGTGGGGCTATGGAGACACACAGACACAAAGTGGGTAGTGGACAAAATAGAATATGCCAAGGTGATACACAAAGAAATAGAGATAACGTGTGGGGCTTCTCTGGAGACTACCCAGGCTTCCTTCTCCAGCATGTAGGACCTGGGTTTGCAGGCAAGACACACAGGCAGGACTAGGCAACAGGTCACTTTCCCTCAGGGTCAAACAGGGGCCCTGGGGCCAGCATCTGAAGATCTAAGGCTGAACGGCGCCTTCCGGGTCCTTGTCATAGATATAGCTGCCCACAGCACCAGTATTCACTCCTGTGGAGAAAGGCGGCTGGGATGGCTGAGCAGGAACGAACGGGGGAAGGAAAGAGGTCCCCTCATGTCCTCTGGCCCTCCACTATACTCACCCTTGGGTCCGAAGAGTATCCCATAGCAAGGCTTGTGGCAGTAGGGCTGGCCGTCATGCTGTGGGCAGAGGGGAGAGTGCTGTGGGCTCAGCACTTTCCTCACATGCAGTGAGACCTTCGCAGTGTGGGAGTCTGCTCCCTGAAGCTCTCAGGCTTCAAAGGTCAGGTGCAGGCCCACTCACTTTGACAGAAATAGCAGGGTTCCAAGGAGTATCTGCAGAATCTGCCCTCTAGTGGCCAGAGGGCAGCCCAGATGGCCTAGGGCAACCCCAGGGCAGGGAGCCTCCCAGCTGCAGAATTGCTGGTTTCCTGTACCTGGCCCCTCCCCTACCAGTTCCTAAATTCTTACTCCAGCACTCCCCTCTCCCACCTACCCCCTGGCCCCTCCTCAAGCCCAGTTTGACTCATGCACCCCAACTGCATCCCTTACCTCAGCGTGCCCACCTGGGGTCAGCGTCTTGGAACAGCGCTCACAGCGCAGGCAGGGCCGGTGCCAGTCCTTGCCCAGGGAAGTCACCTTCTCAGCTGGAAGGGAAGAGAATGGGGATGGTGGGAACCCCAGCCCTGAGGCACAAGTTCCCTGAGCCAGGGGACCGGGCAGTCACTTACCAAAGTACACCTTCTTGTTGCATCGAGGACACATGTTGGGTTCCCCGGTGAATGTGGTGACACTAGAGGCTGGAGGGTTGAAGCTGGGTCAGGGTGGACCTTGGCCACCCTTGGCTCTGGGTAGCCACCCCCACCCGGAGCCTATCCCACCTTTGCTGGGACCCTTGGGGGGTCCGCTGGTCTTCCGCTCCTCAGCTCGCACCACAGGGACCTCGATGGGGCCAGTGACCTGAGGACCCTCAGTCGGAGGCTTCTCATAGATGTAGGAACCAGCACCTCCTATATTCACGCCTGTAGGTGGCGTGCCAGCAGGAGATTAACGGTCAGAGGCCTTGACCCCACCCATCTCCCGTCTTCTCCCAAAGCTGCCTCATGACTTCCAGGGTAGGAGAGGCATGCAGAAGGAGAAGCGGGAGGAGGGAAGAACACATAGCGCCCCCACTCCCCCACCCCTTTGCCTCCCCACCTCACCCCATCCCCAGCAAACACAGGAGCTGTCCCAGGTCTCAGGCCTGGCTGGGACCCTTTACCTTTTGGTCCAAACAGTGTGGCATAACAGGGCTTGTGGCAGAAGGGCTTCCCATCATGCTCAGCATGGCCACCGGGGGTCAGTGTCTTGTTGCAGCGCTCACACTTGAGACAGAACTTGTGCCAATCTTTGCCCAGGGAGCTCACCTTCTCGGCTGCGGGCAGGAGGAGGTGGTCAAGGCAGCATGCCTGTTCTTGCTGCAGTCCAGAAGCCTCCAGGCCCACATCCCACCATTTCACACCACCTGGCAGACATCAAGCCCACTGCCAACCCACCCATGGCGGCTCCAAGATTAGGCGGCTGTTTACAGAGACTCCCTCAGCCATCTCTACGTAGTCTCAGCCCACGCACTCGGTTTAACCCAACCGTCTGCTGACTGCACCTATTTATACCTGCCCCTTCCTCAACATACCTGACCTGCCTCACCTTCACGGTACCTCTCCTCACACCTGACCTCCTCCCGTGGAGCCTAATGAAGCCAGGCAGAGCCCACTGCTGAGGAAAAAAAGCCCTGATCTTTAGAAAGCGGGTGAGGGAACACCAGTCCTGGCTGCCACAGGACCACCAGGCAGAATCCCTATTTGGTTTCCTTATCCTAAGCCCTGAGACCTCCCCTCCACCCACTGCCTCCAGCTGCCAGTTTGGCGCCAAAGGTTTGTGACCAGCAGCTGAGGACTGTGCCTCTCCCCCTCTCTCTCCATCCCAGGGCAATGACTGCTGAGCCACATCCCAATGGACGGAAGCCTGGGCCTCCCCAAGGGAGTAAGGCAGGAAAAGGGTGGAGAAGCGGGCAGGAAGAAGGGCCTGAGCTGAGAGCAGAGCCGAATTCCAAAGGGAAGGGGCCAGGCCAGAGTGGCGGGGGAGGCGGGAGGGGTTTATGCTTGCTTGGCTCTGGCACTCGGCTCCGGCTCCGAGGATAGCAGAAACAGCTAGCTCTCCAGCCTTTCTCAAGAGTTGCCCAGTGGTCCCTCTAGGGCCAAGCCTCCTCTGGACAACCTTGGCAGACACTAGAGAGCACAGCCTACTCTGAGAGGGGTCCCCTGAGAAGTGCTGCTGCTGGGCAGAGAGCTTGGATCCTCCATGCGGCTAAGTCTGGCTCTCCATAGCCCTAGGCTGCTGGGCATGGTCAGGACAGGCAGTCTCTAGAAACCCCCAGACCCTTCCCCCGGACAGTATTGCTTAGTTTCCTTTGTGATGGGAAGACAGGGTGAGCCAGAGCCCTGCTGTGTCCAAGCCAGACCAGGCAGGAGCTACCTGGATGGAAGGTAGGCTTGGCTCCCATTCCTGGCTGGCATTCTCTCTCAGGACAGTGATAAGGAAGGAGGTTGTTGGGATGGCCATCAGTGGCTGTGGCAGCTGCAGTTCACAGCTGCCAAAACCACTCTGCTCTAGCCAGCTCTGGGATGTGGGCCATGTGGGGGCAGGGAGCTGACCCTCAGACCCGCTGGTTGGGTCGATGGCCCCATTACAGACCCAAACTGGGAATACAGCATTGATTGGGTCTAATGGCTTGGAAGGGAATGGTCTCCCTACCTGGTCATGTGTTCTAGAGGGAGATCAAAACTCACAGCACCCTGGAGTCCCTCTGGCCTAGAGTTTACTCAGAAGTGGACTGGTAGGACACAGTCTAGCTGGGTGCAAGGGGCCACATTCTGGACCCCCTACCTCCCCTTTGCCTCCCCACAGGACAGAAGCCAGCAGACTGTGAGGAGCCTTTGTTTTCTGCTGAGAGCCAGAGGCGCCCAAGCAGGCAGAGTGCTTTTTCCGGGTGGCCTGTTGGCCAAGGCCCCAGAGAGTCTGGAGATGGCCTGGGTCTGGAGCAAAGTCATGCAGAATTGGCCCTGAGGACTGTCCCCACTCTGGGACCTGTCAGACATCCCTCTGTAGGAAAAGAACTGACATCAGGCAATCTGTCCCTTCCAGGAAGGAACAGGAAACCCCTGGCTCCAGGCCACCCAGAACAACTCCAAGCCAAATCCGGTGCCTCCCCTCTGGGGACAAACAAGAGTGGCCTCTCCCTTCCTCTGGTCAGCTGAAGAAGCCCACCGACCTGGACGCTGACTGCTGTTCTGGAACGCCCACAGAAAGGACCCTGTCTTTTTCAAGCCGTCTTCCTCTAGTCTGGCCCCGAGTTTATCTTTTAGTGGGCACATTACTACTCTGGAAAAGTTGCTCAACCAGGAGCATGGCCCCGGGAGGTTAGCAGTTCAGGGACCAGGGGATGCTTCATAAAGGTGACTGCCTTCAGGGGCCACCTTAGCAGGAACCAATCAAGCATTCCTGCATACCATACCCTCCTTCCCTGATAACCTTGACCTCCTAGAGGCCAGGGTCCTAGTCACTCAGTTCACTCTCAAGCTCTTGGAGATCTACGTGTCACCGGTGCCCCACCCCGGGTGAAACTGCCGAGGCAAATGGCCAAGAAAGGGAGCAAGCTGGGGCACGTAAGAGGCGGAGGCCAAGGTCGCCCCCGCTTGGACTGAATCCGGAATCCTAGTGGATCCCAGGCCTGGTCCAGCAGCCTGGGCAGAGGTCGGAGTGAGGACTGGGGTCACTCACTACGGTGGGTTACACTACTGGGCCCCGTGTGCAGGCTGAGAGGCAACCAGAGGGTGAGGAGAAGATGCTGGGACCCGGGCGATCTCACCGGACCAGTCCCGGGCGTCCGCCCTCATCGGATCCCGCCCCGAACAGTGCCGCTGAGTGCGATAAGCCGAACGTGCGGGTGGCCAGGAGGACGCTCCCAGCCCCGGCAGTTCAAGACTTTGCCTTTCCTAACCCACCCGACGCCACCCGCCTCTCCAGGGTCCCAGGTGGCCTCCCTCGCCCGGCGCAGCCCCACCTTCGAGCCTCAGGACGCACCCGCGTGGGTAGCGTGGCGAGCTTAGCTACCGACCGCGCATCCCAAGATTGTGGCTGCGCACCCCGATCCGTGTACACTACGGGGTGTGGCTCCGCTCCAGGGACCTGGAGGAGAAAGCGGACGGCTGGAGTATACTCACCGAAGTACACGGTCTTGTCACACTTGGGGCACTTGGAGGCCATGGTCGGTGCGCCCGGTCGGTCCGCGCCCTCCACCCGCGCTGGTCTCTGCGCCGCCGCCCGCGCCTGCCCCGCCCACCCCCGGACGTCGATTGGCTCCGCGACCTGGGCGGGGCCTCGAGAGCCGGCCCTGCCGTACGCCAGCAGCTGGGCGCGCTGCAGGCGGAGCGCACCTGCCAGGGTCGGAGGGGTCCGGCCTGGCGCCCCCTACCCAGGAGTGTGGTGGCGTCTGCGGGAGGAGGGTCTCCCGAGGTTTCTATGGCGACGTTGTGGCCTCTAGCTGTAGAGCGGACTTGGAATCCCGAGCTGTGGGCCCCGACGCCCCGGCCTGCTCGTGGTAGGAGGGGGCGCGAGAAGCCCACGGGACGCCCATTCCCGCCTCCCGGCGCCGCCTCCCTTTGTTGCCTCGTTTCTATAGCAACGGCCTCGCTGCACAGAAGCACGAAGCATCGGATTCCGGGCGGGGCGCCGCGGTCCTGTCTGTGGTGCTGAAGGAGGGGCAGACAGGACTCACTTGTAAGCGCCACCACTTCCAAAAACAGCCTAAGAACCACTGGGATGAGTGGGGGTAGGGCGGAGACAGCCACTGCAGGCTCTGAATAGGGCCGCAGGTGCGCTTATGCTCTAAGGGTTCTCCTCACTTCTATCCTTGGAGAATGGGGAGGGAACCTGCGAGTTTCCTCCTCGTCAAGTGTTGTGGACTAACACCCCATCCGTGAGCACCCCAAACCCATGACTGCTGCGGGTTTTCCACATGCCAGAGCGTCTGACTCCCAGAATTCTGGCCCTATTGCATTCTGTAGGGTGGCAGAGCCAGAAATCCTGCCAGCCAGATCCTGTCTCCCACCTTGCTTGTCCTCAGGAACAAGCCCCCTCCCACTTCTCCTTCCCACTAGGGGCTTGCTTGGCCCCTCCTACTTCCTAACTCCATCCTGGAATTCAGGAGAGCATGAGCTGGAGAGAGGTCCCATGGACTCACCACGGTCTCTCACTGAGCCTCATGACCCAACCTGGGCCTTCTGTCTGGGAATCAAACACCCTAACACTGATGATCCGACCCAGTATGGGCAGCTGACTCCAGAGACACCTTCCCACCTTGCCTTCACTGCTATGCTGGACACCCATATTTCACTTCTCTGCCCAGCCCAAGGACTGGGAGCCAAGTGGTCTCGGGTGCCAGGCATGTTGGTGATCCCTGGCCTACCACTCTGGCCCCATGTGGTGGCCCCTCCCCCTTCCTTACACACATACCCAGCAGAGACTGCCATTTCCATGGTGACAACAGCCCAGAAACATGTGCCACCCCCTCCAAGCCTGACTGACCAGCCTGACCAGCTCCCCCTGAGCACCTCTGGACACATGCCAGCCAAGGCGAGAGGCAGGTAAGGCCTCCCCACTGCCTTCCTGGACAGGGCCCCTTATTCATAGCCAGTTTCCTGTTCAGACTGGATTCATAGGTAGCCGGACTCCCAACCTAAGCATCCATTACCGTGCCCTCTCTAGCTCCCCTAGGAGTCCTGTGGAACCTAAGTACCAGCCTGCCTGACCACCACTAGTATTTGCAGTGAAAGACAGGGCTGACTGGGTTAGAGGTAGTCTTTTGCAAAGGCCTCAAGGGGGCCCAGCCTACTGAAAGAGTGGATAGAAGTAGGCCCCTTCGAGGGGTGGCTGCAAAAGAATGGCATGCAATACTGGCTAGATGCCCAGGGTGAGAAGGGGATGGAGCAGGGTGAGGCAAGAGAGCTTGATTACTGCTCTTGTCCCTGGGCAGTGATGGAGGGCTATGGGGGCTGTTCTCGGCCTGGCAGGAAGGCACAGGGCCAATGACAAAACAGTGCCCTTGGCCTCCTCATCTGAGGCCGTGGTGGGCAAAAGGGCAGTAACAGGACAGCACAGGCAGGTACAGAAAGGCACACACCAGCTAAGGGAAGAGGTAGAGGTTTCTACAGTGCCTTTTTGGACAAGGGTCCCTTCATTCATAGTCAGGTTCTGTTTAGGCTGGACCCTTATGTACCCTGACTCCCAAGTCAATCTTCCCTTACTGTGCCCTCTCATCATCCATGCAGTATAGAAGACAGGGTGTGGAGCAGGTCAGCAGGTCTAGGGCCCCAACAAGAAACACCCTGTAATTCTATTTTCATGTGTCCTGTTGTCTAGGGCAGGACCACAGATTTACTAGGAAACCCATAGCTGGTCTGGGTCAAAGGAGGCATGGCATGAAGGTCCTAGTCTGGAATGAAGGCTCTGAGCTGTGACCTGGGCAGGTACGCAGGCCAAGAATAGGACAGGTCAAGTCAGCGCCAGTCCATTGGGTCATGACTGCCTGACCATCACAGAATGGCCCTTTTTTTATTTATTTTCTTCATCAAAAAGGGCATCAGAGTAAAGCAGTGTACCTTCCTGGACCCTTAAGCCATCAACCTGTGTCCATTTGCCATTGATTGTTTGCCTTGGCTTTGTTCTCCAAGCAGTCAAAGCCCAATACACACTTGGCCCTGTTTCTATCATGGGCACTGGAGCTAAGGCAGTGAGGCAAGTCAAGGATAACAGGACTGCACTGGGAACTGCACTGGTTTTGTCTTGGCCAGGACCTCTTACCCAGCCTGACTCCTGAAAAAGACAGCTTTGATCCTGTGCCTGAGGAGTTAAGCGAACTAGGTCAGAAGGGGCTTCATCTGCACATGGTTTAAGCCATGCTGCTTGCAGACTCCCAGGAGCCCTTAAAGACTGGCGAGTCCTAAAGCAGTAAGGACAAAGTGGACACCAGCAACAACTGGGAGAAGCCCACTGACCCTAGGAAGACGGGGAAGGGCATATGTCACAGGCCTGTCCCAGACACCTGGCCTGTCACCCTGATAAGCCCCACCACAGGCTCATGGAAGCCAAGATACCCCTTATCTATACCAAAAGTGGTTTCTATTTTAATCCCATCTGAGATTTCCACTCATCACAGGCGCCTGAGTAGGGCAGAAGCCAAAACACCCCACTGTTCCCAGAAAGGGTCTAGCTGACCTTTTTCTTGGCCAACTGAGAGGCAGCAGCCTGAGGGACGATGGTCGGCAGAGCCAGACCTCCCTTCAGGAGCTGGCAGGCCTGCACCTGTCTCTAGGCTTGCAAGGATAGGCACATGCAGAGATAGGGTTTCTGAGCAGAAATATGAGCAAATTCTTAAAAAAAAAAAAAAAAAAAGCACACCTGTTAGGGTAGCACAGCTTAGCACAGAAAGCCTGACAGCTGGGGCAAGGCATCTGTTGGGCACAGGAGATAGGCCCCAGATCTTACGCTTATGCACTAAGCCAGCCCAGGTAAACCCTGGCAGGAAAGTTGTTGTGGGGTCTCAGGTAAGGCCAGCTCTTACTGGCCTTCAAGACACTGTTTGAGTACATCTAAAGCGGAGATCTCCCGTTGCCAGTCCCTTGTGGGCCCTCTCGGAAGGACAGCAGGCGCTGGGCCAAGGGCCTGCAGGAGTAGGTCTCAGAGCGCCGCACTCCACCAGCCTGCATAACCCCAGCACTGAGGTGCGCAACATCTGACCTGCCCTGTGGCTACTGCTCATCTTTCTTGGTCTGGCCATGTATCTGACAAGGGAGGCCCTGGGGCACTCCAGGTGTTGGAGCAGGGTGAGTTCAAGGCCCTAAACCAGCAGAGGGACTGGGAACAAAAGACGCAGAAGGGCTTGCTGGGGTTTTCCTTTTTATGAGATTTTTTTTTCTTTGTTTTTGTTTAATATGAAAATTACTTGAAAAGACAAGGGACCAACCCCGCCAGGCAGCTTGGCTGCTGCTGGCCGCACCAATCCTAACATTCCAGGTGTAAGTTACAGAGCTCAAGTTCATCTACAAAAAAAGTAATAAAAATAAAATTTAAAATGGCACCTTCAACAGAACACAACAAAACCTTAGAGCCCACCCCGGGTGAGAAGCCCTATAGCACAGGGCCCAGGGCATTCCTCATCTCTGCTCCAGCCGAAAAGTAAACACAAAGCTAAAAAAGACTCCTCGGTGTCTTGGAATAAGTTAGACCACACTTCTTCCCCCGCATGTCCACCAGAGGAGCAGGTTCTCTGCATGAGAGGGCGGGAGTTGGGGCACTACGGAAACAGAGGGTGGGGTGGGCAGCAGTCTGGTGGGGGAAGGGAGGCCACTTGGCCTCTGCAGGCCGCACTGGATACTCTGGGGCTGATGGAGGGGCCCAGGCAGGCCACAGTGGGTGACCTCCTAGTCCTCAATAACAATGGGCTCATCGTTGACTGGTGCAGGTGGGGGTGGCCGCAGCGGCAGGGCCTGGCTCTGGCGCAGGGCAATGGGCTTGTAGGGCCGGCGGGCAGCACGCTTGGTTTCTGAGGATGAGAGCAGCTTGCGGATTTTCCTGTGGGGAGAGGTGAGCCAGTGAAAACCAGAAGATGGTAGCTGAAGGCTGCCATCCCACCCCAGGAAAGGCTCCTACCTGGTCTCCTCGGTGGCCATGTAAAATACATCGTCCGGGGCGTCAATCCAGTTCATTCTCCGCCGCTTGACTGGAGGCAGGGAGCCACCACGGATTAGGCGCACTTTGGTGGGGTAGGACTTCCCATTGAGCAGGAGATTCCGACTTGGTCCCTGTGTGAACAAGAGGTATGAACACAGGGAGACAATGCTTTGACCTTACCTTACAACCCTCAACCTGAGAGCCCAACTTCCTGGTCAGCCAGGCCTCAAGGCTCTGTAGCCAACCCACCCAGCCCTGGTAGGGAGGCCCTGGTTGGCTGCTGAGGCCTGAATGTACTGAGTCTAGGCTATGTGTTAGGTCTGGCCAGGACGCCTAGATGCTGTCCATGGCACCTGGTTGGAGAGTGAGGGCTAGCCAGGCCACTTCCCCAACACCTTGAGGGATATGTGCACACACAGAAGTATGCCAAATCTCCAGTCACCCACTTACCATGTGCCTGGTCTGTCCATGGTTTGCCAGACCTGATGAAAAAGAAAACAAGGTGAGGCCAGAGCAGGGGGAGCATGGTGAGCACCCACACTAGCTGATAACTCCTCCAAGCCCAGCCAAAGTCCACACCCAAAGGGCCTGTAGATGTTCTCAGCTAGCCCAGGTGGTCCCACAACTCTGCCAACTCTGAGGGCCACCTATATCCTGGCCATCAGAGGATGAGACAGTTTGGCAGTTTGGGCTCCAGGCAGGAAACCAGAGATCCCAGATATGATAGCAGGCCAAGACAGGCCACGTCTAGTGTTCACCGAGCACCACGCCTGCAGGGCTGTGTCTGTGCATCATTCCTATCTATTCTTGGAGCAGCCATTGTCTGCCGGCTGCTCACACACTTAAAGGCAGTTAGGAAAAAGATCTCTGATGACAATTCATGCTTGTAGGCTGGGGGCCCAAGAGGAAACTGAGACGACGCTGGAATGAGGCTAAAACGCACAAATCTCTAGATTCTGTCATCCCACTCCAGCAGGAGTTCCGGCTGAGTCCACCTCTGAAATCACTGCCTCCCACATCTGCTGGCGTGTGTTAAGTTTGTGTGCCAAACACGTCTTTAGATGCCCTGGCCCCAAGCAGGGGCAAGATAGGACTCCTCTACCAGCCTAGCCTCTACCTGCCTAGCGCCACTGGACCCCATGACAGTCTGTCAATCAGCAAGTACTTCTCGTCAGAGCTTTCCCTGATAATATTTGGAGGCCTTCATGTGTACTGCAGCTGCCTGAAACCCAAGGGCCTGCTGCTTCAGTCTCCTAAGTGTGGTGGTTACAGCGTGGCTCTAAGAAGCAAGAGCCTGCCCTACCTCCGCTTCCTGAAATCAGCCCTATTCCAGAATCCTGGCCCCAGCCTTTGCAGCTCATGTAGCTCTCAGGGGCCCTAACTTCCTGGTCTGTAGCACCCAGGCAGTCTGGGCAGTCTGGACAGTCTGATCACAGCACCTACTGGGAACCCCCAACCCTATGCCCACACAAAGCCCTATCACAAGAGCTACTTACCCAGGTAAGTGCCTGCCAGAGTGATGAGGTGGCAGAGAGAAAAGATACACACTAGAGTTAGAGTGAGCCACATGCACATGGCAGCTAAGCCGCAGGGCAGAGCAGCAGGCAGTATGGGGCAGGGGTTAGTGAGTTACGAATCTAGGGTCCCAGGGGCCACAGCCTTGCCCAGAGTTCCCATCTGCTCTGCTTATGCAAGGCCCAGGCCTGAGGCCTACCACAGCACCACTAGAAGGTTAAAGCTGTCTCTAGGCAGCCGGCCCATGGCTCCTAGACTAGTTCCAGTACTGAGGCCTGGTTTTACAATTTCAGGCCAGCCACTTCTCTTGTGGCTAGACCCTCTGACTTGGGAGCTGCTTAGCCCACTCACAGGGCCAATGAGTTCCCACTACATCCTGACTGGGTACCCTCTGCAGGACACACCACAGGTCTGCATGATAAGACTTTGAAAAGTTCAGTGGAAGTGAACAGCTCTTCATAGAAACCAGAAGCAAAAGTCTGGAAAGGCCATGCCTGGGCCCCTGGACTGAGGTGTAGATACCACGGCCACAGTCCCACAGCCACACAAAAGGGATATGTCTGCTTGAGTGCCTGACAGATGGCAAGCTTCCAAAGCAACCATTAGGGGAGTGTCTTGAAGGAATAAGGTACAACTGGACAGCCATTGCCCACTGCTACGTCCTGGGCTCTTGCTGGGATGGGCTTGATCACGCTCATGCTGGCTGGCTGGCTGGCTGGCGTTTCCTGGCTATGCCCAGGTCCAGCCTTAAACACTGACTTCCACACTGACATCCAGACTTGGTGCTGTCCCCCATGCCCAGAGCAGGCTTCTCCCCATCAGCAGAGTCTGAGCGAATCCTCAGCAGATATGAAGGCCATATGTAAGCCCAGCCACCATCCCATCCCTACTGTCCCCCATCAGGCAGGGCACACAAAAATTGCAGGTAGCACTAGCAGCCCTACAAGCAAGGCTGAAGGCATGCGAGCAGTCACAGCGCGACAGCAGTGGGGGCACCAGGACCCTCGTGCAAGGGCAGTCCACCCATGGCTCAAGCCAAGAGGGACCAAGGCCAGAAACCCAGAGCTCACGGGCCAATACCAACTGCCAAGTCTACAAGAGCATGGAAGTATGGGCCCGGGTCTGTGTGGACTGCCCCTGTACGTGCCCTGAACCGCCCAGTCTACGAGTAGACAGCACACACAGGCATCACAACAGGACTCAGCCACAGCACCCCACCAGCGGCCACCCCAGGCCTTACCCCTACTGGGCATCAAGAGGCGCTTCTTCATGTTGCCTGGAAGTGCCCAGGAACAGGAGAGAGAGGGAGAGAAAACACCATCAACTAAGACAGCCAGTTGAATAAGAGTCATGTGGAGCTCCAGGGCTAGCCCCATGGCCCTCACCAGGCCTGCCCTCATCAAAGGGCCAGCCCTGCAGCTCCCAACAGACCTGGCTTAGCCTCTTCACAGGGCCAGTGCTTAAGCACAGACTCACCATCCACCCCATTGTGCTGCTCATAGCTCCTCTTGCCCAGGATGGTGGGGGAGCCATTGTTGATGACAGGGGCTGACTTGGCAGGGGTCAGACTGCTGAGCACACTGGATGAACTCTTCACAGGGTCGGGCTTAGGGGGACGGGGATGAGTCTCTGTGGAAATGGAAGAGGCAAGGATGTGACTCAAAAGGCTCCATGCACTAATACCTCCCCACCCTCAAGCTCCACTGACTCTGGAAGCAGTCGCCATGCTACCAGAGCTCACTGAAGCTAGCGTTACCTAAGATATTTTCACGAGTGGTGACAGCCAAGTAGAGCCTAGCCCACTGCCTTGGACAGGATAGCTAAGTAAGTGCCAAGAGCTTACAAGATCCAGATACAGCTCATAAACACAACAGTCCCATCAGAGAGCCTCCATGTCCAGGCCACCAGGTCTGATGGCAGAAGACTGGCTACTAGCCAAACACTGAGCTGCCAGGCTGGGCCTGCGCACGGACTCATCCCCAAAAGGCGTGTCCTGGCACTGACCACATTCTCCTACGGAACAAGGGCAGGGCGGGGCTGGCCCTGGGGCCCAGGATCCAGGACAGGGAGCAAAGCCAGACACTTGTGTCTGCAATGAACACTTAGCTTATGGTTCTGGAATGTTCTTTCTAGAAGGACTGTTACCTCCATGATGGAGGACTAGAGCCTACTCAAACACTGCAAACAAGTGAACCCTCACGATGTGCCATTTCTACGTGGCCAGCAGGGATCAACAGTGCCCAGAGCAACACAAGCAAGGAGCTATCCCTGCAAGGCTGCTAGCCAGATAAGCACCTTGGCCACCAAGGGCTCACAGAAGCCTGCAAAAGTTGTCTTACAGTTGAAGAGAGGCCTCCTTGCAGGCAGCAGGCGTCCATCCTGCCCTAGGGGCTTGATGGTTGGGCTATACCTGGTATAAACCCTCATCGGAAGCCAAACCTGGTGGTGCACACCTTTAATCCCAGCATTTGGGAGACAGAGGCAGGTGGATCTCTAGTTCAGGGTCAGCCTGGTCTACAAAGTGAGTTCCAGAACACAGCTATGTAGAGAGACCCTGTTTCAAACAAAATCCCTAGTCAGGACACAGGCCTGCTGGGTATGGCCAAAAATTAGAACCAAAGGGTCTGGACCTGAGGACCTAGAAGGAAAGCAGCACCGTGGGTGTTCCTGAGTCTGGCATAGTGCAGCCTAGGTGATCATGCAGCATTTCCTAGATGAGGTGCTAGGATCAGAGTTAGAAAGCTGTGTCCCACCCTTCCAGCTTACCAAGATACCGGAGCACAGCCTCCAGGGGCTTCCGCACTACCTGCTTCAGCACCAGTGGGCTCTGGGACGCTTCGGGCAGTCGTGCTGTGCCTGTAGGAGGATGAGGTAGGGTGAAGAGTTATGTTCCCCAACAGCCAGGGCCCTTACCTTTACCCTAACCTGGACACCCTGCCTGAGTGTGGTTCCTGTTGGCCCCAAGAAAGAGAACAGTTGGTGACTCACATTCAGCCTTGATTGCTGCACTGTTGATGGGCATGTAGGGGTGGCGTGCGGCATGCCATGGGCGTAGGATCTCACGGCACAAGCGCCGGGCAATGCGCGTCAACTTGGTAGTATGCAGGTAGAAGGCCTGCCTTGTCTTCATGGCAAACTTGGGGCTCCCACTGCTCCGAGCTGGGATGCCATGGGGACTCTGTGGAATGGGACACACCGCCCAACACAGCACTGTGACTGGAGGCCAAGGACCTGAGGCCTACATGCAGCAGGTGATAGCTACGGTGTGTCCCACTTACCATGTTATTGCGATTTGGTCCCGGCCTCTCTCCATCTAACCGGGTTGGCATTTTCAAGCCACCATATTTCTTCCAATATGTCCAACAAGATGCGCAGAGGCGACACTGCATGTTAGGGGGACCCCAAGAATACCACTGGTAAGACTGTGTGGCTACGGACAACAAAGTTGGAAATAGACGGATTCTTAAGCAGAACCAACGGTGCAGAGAGCATCCCACAGTGTCCCACCGCCACCACAGCCATCCCACCCAGACTCAGGGCTCACACAGGGCCACCTCACATTCCGGAGGAACTCTTCCAAACTACCCCCCCAACCACTGCAGCCCCATTCAGTGGAATGACACTGAGTCATTCCAGGTCTGGGCACAGGGGCCTTCAGGGGCCCCACGAGCACCACAGCCACGTAGTAGCATTCCCGTGGCCCCTGCTGCCCAGGGTGGGTGCCAGGTACAGCACTTACTGTAACAGCTCTCGCAGGCCCGACCGGCCCCGGGGCTCTGGCCTGGTGTCCCTGTGCCATTCACTACACTGGCCTTGACACTGTTGACGCTGATCTGGTTTGGATTTGGCTTGTTACTGATGGAGGAGAAGGATCAGTCACAGGTGCCCTGGGGCGTCTATACCCCAGCAGACATCCCGGTACCTCTGGTCCATTGTGCTTCAGCTGACATGCCCCGTAACGCTCAGCACTAAACCCAGCCTGACTATGGGGCAAAAAAAAGCTTGACCCTAATCCCTCCTCCCAGCTAAGAATGCTCATGAAAAGGGTGTTGAAGTTCTTCAACTTAGCCAAGGAGGCCGCCTGACCCCAGTGGACCCCAAGAGTCACTGCCCACCCTCCACTGGGCCCCGGGAACTTAAGAAGAAAACTTACTAGTTGGGAATATAAACCTGCTTTAGCTTGCTCTCTGCTTCAGCTGCTTTCAAACGTTTCTTAAAACAAAACAGAAGGTCAGGGAGGTCACCAGGCTGAATAGGGCAGCTGGGAGATCACAGGGAAAGAGTCACCAAGGAGGGGGACATCACTGGAAAAAACTGTAAAAATTTTGCATGGCCCTCCTTGGCCAGCCTGGGGCCAGGAAGTAGGGGTACCAGGCTGGCCAGGGCTCAGAAATGTTCCTTCCTCTCAGTTGGAGTCCTCTAGTGACCCTGACTCCCTCCTCTTTGCCATAGGGCTTAAGGAGAGGTCTTTGGAAAGGTGTGAACGAACATCATGGTGCTCTGTGGGGACTGTGGGGAAAGGCGGGCAGGTGTGGTATGGAAGGGTGGGACGGCCCACCTGCTGGACGTATCTGTCGGTGGTCTTCCACATGTAGTAATATTCAATGATGCTGGTGAGCGATTTCCATGGGAGCTGGGGTGAGAAGGCAACATCGTGGGTGGCAGGAACAGGATTCCTGCCCACACAGGGGAGCAGGGGCAGCACTGGGGTACCAATTCTGGTCCCCTACTAGTGATACAACAACCCCCCCAGCCCCCACTCACCGTTAACACAGCAAGCCCATAGGAAGTGTGTGGCTGCCCTTCCCCTGAAAACCCAAGCTAAAACAATTACCATTATGCCTGAATCTGGGACCAGAAGGAGATGACAAGAACTTGATCTGTCCTTACCAAGGATCAGAGATGAAAAGGACTAGATTGGCAGAATGTCATCTTGCCCTTCTGCCTTCCACCATGAGACGAGGTAGCACAAAGGCTCATGCCAAAAGCAAACCCTTGACCATGGACACCCCAGCTTCCGGAACCACAAACTGATGACTCTGTTGTGTACTGCCCATTCTCCGGTGCGAGGATGGAAGGCCTTTCAACCACCCACATCTCAATGCACTTCACCTCGGCTGAAAAGCCAAATCTGCTGCGTCTAGGGCTACCTGACGCATGTTCTTTGTTCTCCCCATTGGTATTTAGTTTCAATGTTGACAGCCTGAGTGATTTTTCTCTTTTAGCACCCAGCAGTGTCTAGAGCTACAAGTCCCCTGACCCTGCCCCTCTTCCAGTGTTCCCTGGGCCACAAGCCAAGCGACTGAAATTAGTCTTCTTACCTTAAGCTCCTGTCTAAAATGGCACTTTCCATTTCAAAGGGCTCATTAGGGTTTTTTGTTTGTTTGTGTTTGGCAGTGATAGGGATCAAACCCAGACTCTCCCACAAGCAACGTAAGCATTCTACCGCTAAGCCACACACCAAGGCTAGGACTTTAGTCTTTAAAGTCTAGCATGATGGTTATAAATGTCACCTGTAAATTTTTCTTTAGGTTTATCAGCTTTATCTACATGAACAATTTCCTGCCAGCAGACCCATGAACCTGTTTTTCATGGCCTGGAGCTGTGCAAAGGCCGAGTTTGTCTGCTCTGTGTAGAACCCTGTTTCTATACTCGGCTCATGTGATCCTACGATTGGTTGGCCTTGCTCTCTAGCAGGCGACTCTGCAGCTCTTTCTTCTGAGTCTCTGTCAGACTCAGTTTACCTGCTGGACTGTGTCTAGAAATATGGAGACTCTACAGGACTGTCCAGCCACTGTACTGACCATGTCTAGCCTTCCCTCAGAGCGAGTTCTGTTCTCACTGCTGTTTCCTTCCTATCCCATTCTTCTAGCCCAACCTTTTGTCTAAAAAGGTTTTGCTCACTTTACTATTTTTTAATCCAGTTACACCCCAGGCTGTCTAGAAGAGACTGTGGGTGCTGCGGACCCCAGGAGTGACAGCACCTGGGCAACCCAGGGCCACTCCTTTAGGCCTTCAGGCCATGCTTATATCAGCACTGTGTATGTTCTTGGCTTTGCCATCCTGGTTTGGGCTTGCTCCTGAGTTGGTTTGCTTGACTGTAGCAGTTTCTCCGTTTCTCAGGCTGGCCTCAAACTCACAATCCTCTGATCTCAGTGTCCTCAGTACTGGATCATCGCACAACTCACCATGCTCAGCCTTGTTATTATCGATGGCGCTCCAATCGACAATAAATACAGACCACACACTACTTTTTGGCTCCTAGAAACCCCACTGATGCTGTTGTCACAGCTCCCCAGCTGCCTCAAATCATAGTTACGCTCCTTCAGAGTGCCTGCTGGCCTTCCACTTTCCCTCAGGTCTAACACTTCTCAGTTTTGGGGAGTTGTGGGGAGGGGGGGCTCTGAGCACCTAGGCCCTCTCACTTTAAAGACCCTAAAGACTTGCTGGAACTGCACACAGGAGGGAGGCTCAGCTTCATTAATGAAACAAAAACAAGGTCAGGCAGCTGGTAAGTCTTGAGGACACTTTCAGGGGAACCTCCTCCACAGTACTGTCCTAGCTCCAGTGAGCTCCCATGCCTGCTCAGTGGTCACTGGAGGCTGTGTCACTCCTGGACTGAGAGGGCAGAGGCCTGGCCAGAATAGGCACACACATTGTCTTAGATGAGACATGGGGCCTAGCTAGATACTCCCTAACCTACTCAAGCACTTACAAAATCTTGTTGGATGTCTGTGAAGTCTTTCCCATATTTTTCCAAAGCTTCTTCAAAAAGGTTGGCTTCTGATGCTGACCACTCCTCCATCTCATCCCTGCAGAGCACCGGCCCGCCCTGAGGCACGAGGGCTGAGATGGCCTTGGAGATGTCATAGATGTTCTTGTGCAGAGTGTCCATGGCATGGAACTGCAAGACAGTGGGGCTCCCCTGGGTCCAGGCTGTCCCCAGACCCTAAGAGTATCTTCCTGTACCTGTGATGTGAGCCCCCACCCTCTTGAGGTCTCAAAGTGACAATCTAGTAGTTGCCAAGACCCCTAGGTGGGACCCCTCCCTAACTCCCTTAGCATGTTAGATAAACCTACGGTGCACCAGGGAGGCTGGAGTCCTCAGTTACCTTGCCAGGACCCTCTGTGCCTAGGTGGATGCTGGGCCCCAGAAGAAAACAGGGGAGGTGGCAGTGGCCCACTCACCAGGGTGATGTCTCGGGAGGCTGCTGCCGCACTCATGTGCAAGCTAGGCTGCCGCACGGAGCTGCTGCAATCCAGGGCCCGTGCAAAGGTGCCCACAGAGCTGGAGAGGAGGAGAATCACTGAGCACCGGAGCTGACCTGAAGAGATGGCCTCCACCAGGCGTCAGTGACAGCCAGAACCAAGCGGCTCCCCACCCCAAAGGCTCAGGGGAAGCTACATAAACATCTTGGTGGCATGAGTCCCCACGTGTAAATGATATACAAAATGTGCCTCAATGCTGGTTGACAGAACTCTCTGTATCCATGTGTCTGCTGGAGATCACTGTGTTGGGAGCTGCCTCGGATCTGGGGACCCTAAGTCTCACTGTGTGCAGCAAATGTAGCCAGGCCGCCTACTAGGCCATGCTAGGTTTACCTGGGTTTCGACTGCTCTGTAGGTTCAGCACTGATTTCTGGACCTCCCTCCTTCATCCAAACAGCCTCCAGCCACCCAAATAGCCACGAGCCCTTTAGCCATGGGAGAAGCATCTGCCTCTAATGGAGACAACTCTCCATATAGCTCCCAGGGAGAGGGCACACAGTGAGGACAGAGCAACAGTCACATACTAAGCCTTGCCATAGGATCCCAGGGACATTTGCAGCCCTAAAAGGCTGCATTCATACTCAGGGAAACAAAGGCAAGGCCATGGGCTCCATGTTGGGTGTACAAATTAAGGCTCTATGTCCCAAGACCCACTACAGTGCTGCAGACAACACAACACACTGCTGGCCTCTGCCTGCCGACTCACCGGGCCACCACAAGAAACTGGTCAATCTGCTTATCGACAAGCGGATTGTGGGCTTCCCACACCTTGGTCTCCAGTTTCGACTGATCGCGGCCATCCTCCTCACCTGTGTGGAATGAATGTGGGTTAGTGCGAACGCAAAGGCTATGGAAAAGACTCCAGAACCGAAGTCTGCTTGCTCTCCAGGTCCCATGGCACCGCTTCTGCTCCCCAGGTGACAGGAGTGGCTGGCTTGGAGGGGAGGCTGGCACACATGCCCATACACATGAACTGCAGGGCACAGTTGGCCCAGGATGGGCTTGGACATCTGACACATACCCAACACGGGGGCTGGGAGTGAATGGGGGTAGAGAGGGTCAGGTACTCAGCTCTTTGATTTCTACTATTCTGGGAGTTAGGGGACAATTCCTGGTTAAATAACCATATACTCATAGCACCAAGAATCCCCAGGAGAACCATGTCATGAGCCAGGACAGGCCTGACTCTAGGGAAATGGCCCTGGGAGAAATCCCACAACCATCCGTTGTCTGACTCTTCAGCCAAGGGCTACATTCATAATTCAGTGAAGGTATCAAGCTTCCAAGTTTGCACCAGATCCAATCAAGGCCCCTTTGGCCCTTGGCATCAATGTACCATGTGGCCATGAACAGCCTACACTTGAGATCCTGCAGAGTACTGGGTTCCAAGTCGGCACCAAGCAAGCTCTCTAACAGAGGAGAGCATGTCTCCAAAGAGATACTCCTGAACCTCTTGAAGAGTTACTATCTATGGTCCCCAAGTCCAGGGCAGAGCAGGACAAGGCAGGTCTTACGATTAGCCAGTCACAGGGCATGGGAGTCCTGAGTTGAAAGTCCAGCACTGGAGAAGACCCAGCAGGGCCCATGGTAGAAACTGAGGAGCCTGAATCATCAGGGTTTCTGGTGGTCCACAGGTGGATTCTGTGACTTCCCACCCGTGCTGGGCCTGCACATCTCCCTAGTGTGGTGGGTGGTTTCTGTCTCAGTATAGACTGCACTTAATCTAGGGTCACAGGGTGCAACCTTTGGCATCCCAAGGTCCCCCAAACCAAGACACTGTTCACAGCAAATTATTTGCAACTGCCTGGAATTAGAGAGAAAAAAAAAAAAAAAGAAAGAAAGAAAGCCTGTGGATCTTAACCCACATTGCTCACTTTGAAATTTCCAACACAGTGAATAAAGGCAGGTATTCAATTTCAAATCATTCAAAATACACGCTCTGGGGCTGGAGAGATGGCTCAGCAGTGAAGAGTATGTATTGCTCTTCCAGAGGACCCTAGTTCAATTCCCAGTACCCATGTCCACGAGCTTGCACCACCTGTAACTTGAGCTCCAGGAGATCCAGCACCTCTGGTCTTTGTGAACACGCACGTGTGCACACACACAGCATACATACACATGACTAAAAAATGTAATTTTTAAGAGAGACACCATGGGGAAGCCACTGCCCTTTGTGCCAAAAGGCTGCAGAGACTAGGAGGAAAGAGGCCACTATGATAGGCCAGAGATAATCCCCACCAGCACCCTCCCCACCTCAGGGTCATACTTTCACAGGCAGTTCCTACAGCCAAAGTGTGGCTCTCTTGGGGGTTCTCCTAGCACTTGCCAATGAGCCCACAAATGCATAGGACACCTGGAGCTGCTAGATTCTGAGGAACAAATGCTCCAAGCAAGGTCCTCTGACCTTTGAGACCTCTCCCAACTCTCTGGTCCCCGTGTACCTAAGTTCTTGTGAATCTGACAGCCGAGGCCTCTCTCTGTTACTTCCCTCTGACCCTTCCCCTGGACCAGGCTGAGAAAGCAGGTACTGTGGCTTCAGCCCAGGAGGCTGGACATGGTTCAGGACAGTCTGTGGAGCCTCAGGGCTGGGGCTGTTTGTGCAAGGAGCTCAAGTGAGACACAGGCATCAGGATGCCCAGGGTAACAAGGCTCAACCATGAGCTAGAAGTCAGCAGACAAAGGGCATCCTCCTACATACAAAGCTCGGAGGGAAGTACCATGTACCCCAAGAGCCAGCTGTTTCATGAGCCAGGCCCCACCCAGCTGACTCTCCAGCCAAGGGCTAGCCCAGGTGGGCTTAGCACCTCATTCTGAGATCCAACAAGCACCAGAAAACACAAAGAATAGAAACCGCTAAGGTAAAGAGCCGGGTGCAATGGCGCATGTCTGTTATCCCAATACTCGGGAAGGCAGAGGCAAGTCTGTTCTACAAAGTGAGTCCAGGACAGCCAGGGCTACACAGAAAAACCCTGTCTCAAAAAAATATTAAATAGGTAAAAGGAAGGGCACGCAAAATGAAGTAAACATGTACTGTGCCAGGGCCAAGCACTCTAAGAAGGCAGTGCACTGTCCCACGGTGCAAGGCTCTGTCTGAGGCACTACAAGATGACAAACAAAAACAGCCTCAGAGACTACCTACTCTCTTAGAACTCTGAGTCCAGCTGAGCTAAGTTACCTGGCAATCAGAGAAACCCCAAGGGCTGAACTAGGAGACAAAGGCCGGGGTCTTGAGCTCATCAGATCATTCCGTCAGGGCTGCTGAAGGGAAGATGTGGGAGGGACCCGCAGGCCCTGGATGGTAGGTCAGAACCAGATGATATCAATCTGCTCTGACAGAGGTAAGTAAAAGCACTTCCTACCAAACCAAACAACCTCAGTTTGACCTCTGCTACTCACTACAACAGGATGAAGCCAATTGTTATAGGGTGTCCCCTGACCGTCAAACCCTATACACGGATCAGTGAATGAATAAATGTAATTTTAAACCCCCCTCAAAGAAGAGGGCCTGATGAGGTGACTCAGTACGAGAAGGTGCTTGCGGCCAAGCCTGACAACCTGAGTTCAATCTCCACAATCCACACACACTCCAAGTATTCCAAGGACCGGAATTTGATTCCTGAGTGTCACACGGGGGAACGAAAAAAACACTCCAGCAAGATGTCTTCTGAACTACACACACAAACGAGCCAGGTGTGATGGCTTGCTACTGAGATCATAGCCTTTTCAAGGCCAAAGAGGGTGGCAAGTTCAAGGTCAGTTTGGGCAATATAAATAAAAGAGATCCTGTCTCAAAACACATGGGATGGGGCTAAAATGGCTAAGTGGTTAACAGCACTGACTGATCTTCCAGGGAACCTGGGTTCAACTCCCAAAACCCACAGCACAGCTCACAGGTCCCTTCTTCTTCTTCTCCTTCTCCTTCTCCTTCTTCTTCTTCTTAGGGTTTCTCCGTGTAACCCTGGCTGTCCTGGAATCACCTTATAGATCAGGCTGGCCTCAAACTCACAGAGATCCCCCTGCCTCTGCTTCCCCAAGTGCTGGGATTTACAGGTGTGCACCACCGCACCCAGCTGGCTCAAAACCTTCTGTAAGTCCAGTCACAGGGGATCCAATGCCTTCTTCTGACCTCCACGGGCACTAAACAAAAATGGTGCACCAATATACACACAAGCAAAATATCCACACCCATAAAATACAAGTAAAAATAAATTAAATAAGGAACAAGGCTGGGGGGTGGCATGGCAGAATACTTGCCTAGCAGAAACAATATGAAATCAAACTGATAAGGAACTGCCAAAGGGAAATCCGAGCTCAAGGAGCCACAGGGCTCAACAGGTGGCTCCAGGGCTTGAGACTCGAGGCCGGATTCCAGTGTCCTCCAGGAAGGAGGCTCTAAGAGAGCTGCAGCCTAGCCTCCAGCCTCTGCACGTGTGGCCCAGCCTGAACCTCACCTTCTTTCAGCAAGTCAGTGATATCGGCCTGGTAGCGGTTTCCTACACGAATTTCCCCTTTATCAGCCAGAAGGGTCTTCTGCTGTGGGTCGTAGACTAAAGAATAGAAGAAGAAATCCTGAAAAACACCACACAAGATAGAGGCGTCAGAGTCCAGCTGTATCCAATAGGCCAGCCCAGTTTTGAGGGAGGGGCTACAGCCTGCCCGCCCATGACCCCTGGCAGAGGCCCATACAGCAGTAGAAGTAAGACCTCATAAAGGCTGCAGAGGGCGCTCCTCTGCTTAGGACGTGAATGAGGAGGAACCGAGAACTTGCCAGGGTCACTGAGCACAGGCCCCTCCTAAAAGCCACTGTCTTTCTGTCACAGCAACCATTTGAAGTTCAACTTATGAAGGCCAGGCATAGTGGTGCATGCCTTTAACCCCACCACTTGAGAGGCAGAAGCAAGCACAAAGTTCTGTGAGTTTAAGGCCAGCCTGGTCTACACAGCGAGTTCCAAGACAATCTGTCTCAAACACCACCACCCCACCACTGGAAGAAAAAAATCAACTTACGAGCACAACAAAAATCAAAGTACCTAGGAATAAATTCTATAGGCTGCAGGCAGGCAAGTACACTGAGATGCTCCAACCACAGAGCTTCACACACCATTCCAGGCTGTGTACTCATGGATCCAGCTCTATGCCTGGCCAACAGGCTGAAGCTCACACAACAGAGCTTTCCTCAACTTTTCCCCACCTCAGGCTTTTAAGCCCCACAGCTCGACTTATTCCTTATGGTCAGCACGGCCTTAGTTCTGAGTAGTGGTCTTCTGAACCTAAGGTCACCTTCTCCTGTCACCTGGGCTCTCACAGGTGTCCCTGTTCTCTATGTCTAATGGACTCTCACTGTCCATGGATTCTCACTGTTCTGCTCTATGTCCATGGCCTACTCCTGTGCTCTCTGCTCCCAGGCCTGCTACCCAGTTCTTCTATAGCTCCTGGGCTGCTGGTCCTCACCTTCTCACATCCCATGACTTGCAGTTCCTCTTTTTCCCATTCTCTTCATTCACTCTGAAAATGACTAACTCCTCCTAGATGCTGTGTTGCACTGTTAGTTAATGACGGCTGCCTTTCTAAGGCTCCAGAGCACCAGTGGACGGTGGTGCTGATCCAGGCCTGTCACTGCATCCAGACCTCATGCCCCTTCTCTGAGTTATAAAAAGTATGCGTCTTATTTTGTGCTGAGTTTCACTAGCAGAGGTGTGGGTGGCCTGAGCACGCTAGGCATCCCTTCCGTTGGCTCCTCTCCTTGGTGGAGTCCCTGTCCCTTGATACTCTGCCTGTGCAGGCCTGTGCACAGGATTGCCAGAGGCCACTGGTAGTCATGCCTGGTAGGGCCACACCTATACAGAACCCAGTAGATAAGTTCAGTGCAGTCCATAGCACCCGAAGAAACAGGAAAAAAAAGCAGTCTCAGTCAGGCACACAGACGGCAGCAAGGTGCCCAGCCAGCAAAAGCAGGAACCTGTTCTCACCATTCAGGAATCGCATGTTTCCTAAACATATGAATGGAAAACCATACGGAAGAACACAAGGGTCGGGACTGGAGAGATGGCTCAGTGGTTAAGAGCACTGACTGCTCTTTCAGAGATCCTGAGGTCAATTCCCAGCAACCAAATATATGGTGGCTCACAACCATCTGTAATGGAATCTGATTCCCACTTCTGCTATGCATGAAAACAGACAAGCACTTGCATACATAAAAAAAACCTAAAAAAAAAAAAAAAAGGAACACAACGGTCTCAGCACCTGGAGGCAAGCAGCACCTGGGAACACTCAAGGCTCTCTCTGTGCCAGCCACACTACCGGGACTGCCCACTGTCTGCCACAGCACAACTGGCCTCTGGCTCACAGATGCTGGTGTCTTCCCTTCTGCAGTTCTACCCTTCTCTACAGCTGTCAGCAGGGCTAATGCCGAAGTCCCCTCTGCCTAGCAAAAACACTCCCAAGCAGCAAGCACAGCCTCCTCCAAAGGCACTGCCTGCCTGGAGACCCAAGGGTACACATCTCGTGGCTGCTCAGATGCCTAGTGCTGCAGGACCTAAAGCAGTTCTCACGAGACCAGCATATCATGACTGCTCCACCTGTGGTCCTTCAGGGGCTCATGTCACAGTAGCTCAATGACCATGTCCTACTATTTCTGGGCTCTGTATGGCAGGAGCAGGGCAATGGCTGAGAACATGAGGTAGTATCCCTACAGAGTGGGTTCACATAAGCCCTGTGTGAAGGGTGTGGGCTGAGCTCAGGGCATAGCCCACCATCCATCCCCGTACACTGAAGCTTCAGTGGCACATAGGGAACGAAGCCCTGTCCAGGCCAACCTGAGAGAGCTGTACTTGGAGCTTCAGGCCACAAGGCTCAAGCTGAGGTTGCAGAACCCTAGAGACTAGGACCCAGGCAAAAGGTGGTGGTGGGGGGGGTGAAATGGGGCACACCAGCTTCTTATCTGACTATCAGTGTTCCTTCCTTTCAACTGCCACATCTTCTAAATAACTGACATGCCAGCCAACTAGCCTCAGAAACCTGGCCTTCCCAGCAGTGCTATCCCACATCTTCAGGGACTTTGCTTCCCCAGAAACACTAGTCTGGGGTGGCATTTCAAGGGTAACACCTCTCCTTGTGCAGGGTGGCCCTATATAAGGACTACTTGCCCCAAATGCAGCAATGGCCACCAACGCCAGCAGCCATGGGGGTCACTTTAGACTATGGACAGAGATGGTCTGTGTGGGCTTCTGCTTGCATGTGATGTCCACAAAGCTTTTGGCAAGCGCCCAGGTTCGAGACCAGGTGGCTCTTGTCCCTGGAATCCTGGCTAGTGAGGCAAGAGTGCTCATTAATTCCAACCATTTATTCCCGCAGAGTGGAGACCTCCACACAGGGGGCTTCTTGAAGGAATGCCTAGGGGCACCTGAAATGAACAACAGGGTCCTAAGGTCTCTGACTCCTGGTGGCAGGGAACTGTGGGTAGAAAAGAAGCCGTGGTGCAACCAAAAGGGTAAGCATCGTGTCCAGGCCAGAAGATAGTAGGGCAGGTCTTACCTCACGCTCCAGGTAGGACTTGAGCGACTCGGTCTCATTGAGCAGGGTAACACTGCACTTGCCCCTGGAAAAAGAGAATGAGTAGGTGGAGGAGGCGCAGGCAGCAAGGTGGCAGGCATGAGCTGCGAGAGCTACCTGATGTGTGTGGCAGGCAGCGACTCCAACTGCCGAGAGAGGAATAGTTCCCGATGCCGCAGCTGATGCTTAAGTTTCTCAGGCAGGTCCACCATCTCTGGGTTTTCTACCTCCTCCTCCACTTCCCCTAGAGGACAAAGAGGCCCTGTCAGTACTCATTGGAGATGGCAGCTGACAGCCCCGGCCGCCAAGCTAGCTCTCCCTCGTGCAGGGCACCAAGCACAGGAGACCACCTCCCTGCCTAACACATTTCCTGCCCATTCCACGGTGGCTCAGGAGCTCTGGGCAGGCCCCACAGAAGCCCTGGAAGCCTGGAATACATCAGGATGGGAAGATGAAGAAGTATTCAGACTGGCCTCGGAAGCAGCAGGCAGAGAAAGGCAGGAAAAACATGGGCACACTACATGTTCAGGACAGCCTGAGGCCAGATGACCCCACAAAACACAGCAGATTTCCTGCCCGAGTAGGACAACCCCTTGACGCCTTGGCCACAGCCAAGGCCAGGCTACAGGCTAAACATAGGGAATCCCAGCCCTCAGCTGGCTGGCAGGGGATGCAGGGACGGGCATGCAGGCAGCCCATCCAGGATACATTGGCTTGTGCGACGCCCGCCCCAGCCCAGGGACACAGACGCGAGGACACCCTCCTTGCAGAGGTCGGCTCTTACCTTCCTCGCCGGTGTCCGCCCCCGGTCCGGCTCTATAGCAGACTGACAGGGCTACATAACAGACAGACAGCGCCCAGATGGCAGGTTAGGGCCAGTGCCAGCGCTTGCTCCCTGCCCAGGGCCCGGACCGAGGAGACATGGGGGCCACAGGCCTCCCAATGGAGGACAAACACCACCCAGCCAAAGACTACCTGTGTCTCCTGACTGTTCTAGCATTCAGAATGCCCACCCACCTGCGACCCATCCCTCTTCCAGCTACTCCTGAGACCCTCTGTGTATGCAGCTTCTGGCCACCCCGTCTCTCCTCACACACACGGCACCAATCAGAAGCTAACTCCTCCCTAAATGGCAAGTGCAGGAGTCAGGGGCCTCCAGATAAGATTGCCCAGACATGGGCAAGAGAAGAACAGGCTGGCAGGTGGGGGACGCTGACTACTGGGAGAAGTCAAGGCATACCAATGTCACAGCAAGCACCTCTGGTGGTTTGGCTACCACCCACTACCCCGTATCAACAAAATACTTCTTTGCCTATCCTAGATCCCCAAATTGGGGAGTATGGAATAGCGTGCACTATGACAGCCCAGGCTTGCTTAGTATGTCCAGCAGGGGGACAGCCCTGCTGATACCCACAGCTCCAATAAGCGGCCAGCCATGGCTGCTCTCTTCTGCCCCCTTGTGCTGACTGCAGGGTGCTCTGGCACTTTGGGGAGGGGAATCCCTAGCCTCAGGCACCTGAGATAAAGACCAGAGCTGGGAGGTGGATGTAGACTTTTCTCTGTGACTGGGCCCCAGGAGCCTGGGCATCTCCACTGAGCTATTTTCTCCTAAACATGAGGCAGGCAGGTCTGTCCGGAGCAGCTCTTGTCCAGCAGCCAGGGGTTATTCACATACATCATCCAGACCTGAGGCTGGATGGACCTGGGGGCTGTATCTCTGAGTTTCCCACCATCCTCACACAGGCACTAAGTGGTTCCAGGCTACCTCATCTCTTCAAGGCCTAGAGCAGGGCCAGACCCTATCATAGCTACATATACAGCCTCTGGCTCCACCTCTCCCTAGGGACCTTTCAAAGGGCTGATCCCAAAGGCAGATGGCCGGCCCCAAGCCATACTCCAAGCCCAGAGCTCATCCCACGCCACCTCTAAGTGCCACCTCATACTCTGCTAAGCCCTAACCCTGCTCTGGTGAGGACTACACAGAGGCCAGGCACATCTCCCTCTGCAGGTATCTGGAAGGGGCTCCTGCTACGTGTGTACCAGGCTACAGTATCTGGCTTCCCATCTAAAGGCAATGCTTGGCCTGGACAGCCTGGCAGGGCACACTGACTTGGAGCCAGAGCTCCCTGACCAAAAGGCAGGGCCCTCTCAGAGTCTCTAGCTCCTGTTAACAGGCCCCTACTGAGCAATCAGCTGTGTGCACCCTGGCTATAGGGAGCTCTGTGTAACCAGAATGTAGCACCAGGGAATGGGGAACCCACCAGTCACAAGCCAGGCCAAGAGGAGTCAGCCAGCAAACCCTGGTACCCTTGATACCTGCCTCCTTGGCTTGATGAGGCTCACAGGAGGCCTAGCCAGAGATGGCCCATGGAGATTTTCTGGGTGCACTGTGTCAGGGCTCTGCAGACTCCCTCATTCTGGGAGGCCCTTCACCCTGACGTAATACTCCTAGGATTCTGAGTCTTCACACCACACCCTTCTCCACCAAGACAGCAGCACCACTGGGGCATACAGATAGCAGTGAGATTCTGACAACACACTGGTCCTCAGAGCAGGCCACCCCTCTCCATTGTGGTAAACACACGATAGCTCCAACTTCCCTGGAGACTTGGGACCCACACCTGCAGGGCTACAACCACGTCAAACATTCACAGTGCATCCAGCACAAGCACCCAGAGGCCGGAGCATGGGTGTCAAGGTCAAGTAGGCCATCTCTGCATCCAAAAAGGTCTGAGATGGGAGCTGCATTTTCATTTTGCTCACAATGCTGTGCTGGTGATTCACGCAGGGCTGCCTGCAGGATGGCAGGGACATCATCAACACACCAACCCTACTCTAAAGTCAGCTCTGGCTCCTTCTTGCCCCTCCTGACCCGGTCCCGAGCCGGTGAGAACAGCCAGCTCTGGACCCCTGCCTCTCCCACACTAATGCTGGCGGCAGGTTTTGAGGGTTCTCACTTGACTGGCCGCCACCGCGAGGAGACTGTGGCTCCGGCAACCCTACTCCCACCTGTTAGGAATGGGGACAACGGACGAGTGTTATGTGCATGCCTATGTGCTACAAGTGGGTCGTGTGTGTGTTACAAGTAGGTCTTGAGCCAATCAACCAGTAAAAAAAGGGACAAAAGAGTCAGGATGGCACTACTGAACTCTCTATGGAGAGGACAGTCCAGGCCACTCTGCTCCTCGTTTGCTCACAGAGAGCACCCACAGTGACCATAACCTCAGGCTCAGGAAGAGGCCCCAGATGACCACAAGTGCAAGGCAGCTGGGAATGTCCCCAACTCAGGCATCTAGGGCTCAGCAGCTGTCCGGCACTCACACAGCCCTACTGCAGTCATGACGCCCAAGCACACACAATAGTACAGGTCTACAGGGGTCTACATCAGTGAGAGGTCAGAGGCTAAGCACGAGGACCAGGTAATTGTCAAGGAGGGAGGCAAAGTACCCTTGGACCATGCTTATCATGCTAGGGCTAAGTTCCCTTGAGTAAGAAGGAAGGTCTCTATTCTGGAAAACAAAGAAACAAAAACAAAACAAACAAACAAAAACAACTACAGAGGACACAGTAGACATCTTCCAGTAAAATGGAAACAATCTGTCCAAAGGCCAGGCAGCGACCACAGCCTCTGCTCTGGGTCAGATCCTCCTTACCCTCTGCCCTATGGGCCCAAGCTAGGGGCCAAATACACCAACATCCCAGGTGGTCCATAACTATGAGCATAGGATACTGGCAGAAGACACGAGGAGGATTATTTCACCCTTGCCCATGGGTAAACAACACCCGAAAGGGACTATGCACTGGCACTGAGCCATAAAGGGCTATCACGAGAATCCAGCTACAGACAGAAGACAAAGTAAGAGAGCAGAATGGCCTCAGTGAAGCCAGGACCCAAGAGTAGGCACTGAAGGGGACAGGCACATCACCCCAGGGGGAAGGCTGAGACTCACTTGCATGCTTGTCAGCCAGGGCGATGAGGCTGCTGGAAATGTCCCGCCTTCTGTAGAAACACACCACCTTGGCCTCCACATTCCCGTTGGCTGTCTGTAACAGCAAGGCAGACGTGTCTGAGCAATATAAGCCCTAAAAGGGACCCCAAGATAGGACCTAGACCCTCCCAACCAAGGCTTCAGGAACATTTAGGGAAAAAAATGACAGATCTCCTATACCTGAGCCCAAGTGTGGAGTGAGCTGGGGACAGCCACACCTCTAACACATACAAAGTCAGGTAAGCATGACCAAAAGGGAATGCACACTGGACTAGACACACAGACTGACTCCCCCACTCAGTGATCTGAGCCCATGAGGTTCTCCCTTGCCTGCCAGGGGCCCCACCAGAATAGTGCCCTAGAGCAGTGGAGGCCCTGCTTGTTTTACCAGAATCTAAGGACAGCCCTGACACATACTGCAACCCCCACCCTTCCCTTCTAGTCAGGCTCCAACACCATCCTCCACAGGGCAGCCAGTAGTGGAGACCTACACCACAAACAGGACCTGTGAGGGTGAGATCTCAACTATGCACTTCGAACTGAGCTCCTGTGTCAATCTGCAAGCTGGCACCAGCAGAGAATATTATACAACTAGTCAGGGCTCACGTAAATGCTAAATGAGGTAAGGCATGCCTCTAACCCCAGCACTTGAGGTAAGAGCAGACAGATCTATGTGTTCACGACCAGCCTGGTCTATACAGTGAAATCCAGGCAAGTCAGCACTATATAGTGAACCCTGTCTAACAACTAATAAAATTAAAATAATGTTGCAGTTATGCACCCCTGACTTGTGTTCCCACCTGAGTGGAGAATACATAAATTACTTTAAGTTCTGTACAAGACATCTATCTTTTCACTCCTGTTCACTCACTTCCACTGGCACGGTCTGTGGACACGGTCTGAGTACCCAGAGGACTCACCCAACAGAACTCCAGCCTTCCTATGCTCAGGCCATCCTATGGCCAGTGGAATCTCCCTGGGTAGCTTCCGTGCCTGTCAGACCTCACCGTGGTGAAGCCGTTCGTACAGTCTGAAGCAGGGACAACAACCCCCACTTGAGAACAAACTTCCACAGGCTCTGACAGTACTGTGGAGCAGAGCTCTCTCTGCTCACAGCCCAATATCATGATACATTCCCTCAGTGCAGTATTATAATGTTATTTTCCACCGTGTACTCTTGTCTTTCTTTTCCTGTTGCTGTGGTAAGTTACTTTGGCAGAGGTAACAAGGGAATAAAGGACATCATCTGGCTCACAGCTGCAAGTTACAGTCCCTCGGGGCAGACGTCACGGCATCAGAAGCTTCAGACAGCTAGCCACACTGTCAGGAAGCATCGTGATGCAGGCTGCTGCTCAGCTCCCTTTCTCCACTCACTTGTCGGGAACCCATAAATGGAATGGTACTGCCAGCAGTGGGCAGGTCTTCCACCTCAATTAACACAATCCAGACAAGCCACTGGTGTGATCCTAGATGTGATCCTAGATTCTATGAAGTTGACAGTACCAATCGATTATCACATACTCCTGAACACATAGAACTACAGAAACATGGCTGAGCCAATACTGTGTGTGACACTGCCCCTCTGGCTCCCCGTGTCCCAAATTCATCACCATTCACATTTCTCTATTTACCTACCTTCTCACTCAACCGTCATGGAATCCTCTAAGCAGCTAGCAGTGGGGACCAGGAACAAATGTCAAGCTTTGATATCTGGAGACACTCATCTTTATGGGTGTCTAAGATGGGATACTTCCCCTTCCTTGCTGGGGTGGTGGTCTCCCTGTGGTAGTGGACAGCTTTCACAGCCTTCTGAGAGGCTGGCAGGTCATCTGTTCATCTTCTGGACACAGAGCTGGCATGATATGCCTTCTGCACAGCCATGGAAGATGCAAAGTGCAGCTGCGTGCCCATGCAATCTGCTTTTCCCCTAAACTTAGAAGTTCTTTTGTTGGGTCTCACTAGGTAAACCAGGCTAGCCTCAAATTCAGAGCTCCACCTGTCCCTGTTTCCAAAGTGCCAAGATTTAAGGTGCGCACTACCACCGCCCGACCCTCCTATCTCTCCCAATGACAAGACACACCAAGAAGACCCTCTGTTCAGTCCTCATTCCTTGGCTCTCTCCTACCTGTTGGCAGGACTCCTATTTGCTGATTCTGGAATGACCTCTAATTTTCTGGTTTGTGCCCAGTCTCTCTACTCCTGTCCTACTTCCTAGAATCCTCAATTGTCACCCAATCTTCCCTTTCTGTTTTCACTTCTGGAAGTCCACACTCATTTCTGAGAGCTTTCCTCACTGACCACTGGCCACAGCACCTGCCCATGCTCAGCACTGTCTCTTCCTTCTTGAGGCCCTGGCTATCCTCTGTACTAGCAACAACTTTTCCTCCATATATATAGAGAGTAGAGACCCACACCACCAACAGGAACAGTGAGGGTGAGATCTCAACTATGCACTTCGACCTGAGCTCCATATATATGGATATACTACTAGGGTATATCCATATATATATACATACATACCCATCTTGCATATTAAAGGCTCTCTCAAACACCTCATCCTGTGCCCACAGGGCGTCACCAACTGTGATCCATCACAGGGGTGAGGAGCTGCATTCTGCTCAACATTGTGCTTCGGCTCCCAGGAGATGCTCCTAGCCCCCTTCCTGAGCCCACCAGGGAGAACCTGCCTGAACTGTACAGTGCCTATTCTTCTATTCTAGGGTAGGGCTCTGGCCAGTTAGTTCCAACTTGTTCTGAGTTTGGCCAATTGCCATGGTGGAAATGGTACCTCCTCCCACGCAACCTGTGAACACTGGAGCTTCCTAACCTGTGTCTGTTTGTGTACAGCTTTGGTGTTCATTTCCTAGGCAGCAGCACTAGCTTGAGAACAGCTATAACCATGCCCTAAAATCACCTGTCCCTAAAATCCAGAAGTTTCTTATCACTGAAGGTGCTTGTCTCTGCTCTGTAGCAGGGTCTTGAAACAACTTCATGTGTGCTGAATATGCTGGCTGTGGGTGGCAAGCCAAGGATATCAGGCTTTGTTAATCTTACGTGTCAAAGGGTGAAACCCAGAGTTCCCCTCACACACTGGAGATCAGAGGCAGACCACCACAGAAGTCCAAAGCTGAGGCCAAAACAGAAGCCCAGATAGAAACCAGAGAGAAGCCTTGCAACAGAGATCTGACATCGAGAGATAGCAAGGCTGGTCTACAACTGGGAATCAGGCCTGCCAGCCCAGCTCACAACTCGCTTTATACATGACTTGGACTCAGCACCTGGCTTTGAGGTGGGTGAGGCTTATGCCAGACTGTCACTCAAAGAGAGGGGGCTGACATGGCTACATATGCTGGGCCACAGAACACCCACCCTCTAGCTGCTGCTTACTGCAGGACGCAGGGGACACAGCCACACAGACTTGGCTCACTGCAGCTGGGATACTCCTCTACGAGCCTAATTGCTCATGTCCAAGTTTGTACAACTGAAATATGTAAACGAGAGCTTGTCAGCCCACATCTATAGCAGCCAACTGCTCAAACTGAGAGCTCCAGCCACTGAGTCTACTGCCCTGCCTACTGCCAACTGTAGCCAGGGTCATCCATGGAGTACCTGTCAGGGCTCTGGTCCCAGGGAAGCACATCAGAGTAAACACCAGTGCCCACCTATGCTATGATAGGCCTCAGGCCTCCAGAAGTCCCCTGCATGCTCTGACCATTCCATCTCCCCAGGTGCAGCATACACACACACACACACACACACACACACACACACACACACACACACAC